GAAGTACTCCGCACATCCATCTACAGTTATCATAAGAGTGCAGCAAATATTAATGGAGGAACTTAAAGATCACAACAGACATTATCAATTCATGGATTAGCAAGTGGAATGCATATGGTTAAAAGCACAAAAACCAAATGCAATGCCCAACCCAATCCACAGCTTGAGAACAATAAAACAGAGCTAAACTAGCATGCAGAATCATAATTATATGCAATCATATATGCACTATAATTCCAAGAAAAATAAACAAAAATACTACATATATCAAAATCTACTATAATGCACAAAAGCAAACTACCTTTCAGTACCATAACCCAACTCATTCAAATAAAGATATTCCTACTCATGACATTTGAAAGCGATATTTAAGTGGAAGAAGGTTCCAGATTAGATCAATGTTAAGCATTCAAATAAGCCCATAAGCCCTGTAGCTACATACAATAATCACAACAGCTTATGATGATTTCTAAGGAATCTTTAAACAAAACATAGTTTAGCCACAACCGCAAGTAAAATAGTACCTAGAAGCTAATTCTGAACAAGACATGCATATACAATGCTCAATAAATTATTATTATATAAACAAGACGAGTCAAAAAAGGAAACGTAGCAGAATTTTTTCAAAATACGAACCCTCGCATCCACCAAAGAAGTACGAGTGCGTTTGTTTGGGATAGTGTTCTTTGTCCTTTCTTCTGACTTTTGTTGCTCAAGTTCAAAACCACCTGAGACAGCATGATTCTGAATACCAATCTTTCCCATATTTGGCCCTAGGACTGACCGATCACTCGATAGCATCGAACTAGAACGTTCATTAGAAAAACTTTCTGCTCTTGATCTCTTCTTAGATGGTATGCTTGGGAAAACCTTGTTGAATACAGATAAGGCTTCATTGAAAGTTTTTACACGTTCCCTGTACAATTATTCAATGTTATGGAGTAGTTGAAAGTCACAACGACAAACCAGATTGCAAAACATACACAGAACTACCTGGCCTTAATAGAGCTTTCACGCAGACCAGCCTTAACTCGTTTGATTTCCTCCGGAATTGGAGACAGTAGCAACTTTCCTTTTACCGAAGCAGATGGAGATTCATCAGGTGAAATGCTAAGAGCGACGCTCATAAGTCTTTTTAAGTCCCCTTGTCTGTTAGACTTGTGCTCTGCAGCAACCAATTTTGGATCAAAGCGTAAACACTGGAAGAAGTTCGTTACATCTCCTTGTGTTACTGCAGACGTGCTTCTTGACATGTTTGGAAGTGAAGATAACATTGGATTTTCCATGCTTTCGCGAAAGCTACCAGATCTGTCCAATTGAGCAGCTATGTGGGATCCTCGCTGCCCACTGGTGTATAATGGTCTATCTGGGCTACCAGACGAGAGATCAAACTTGCTAGAAGTTGCCATTGCATCAATTTCCACACAATATCCGAGTCACAAAGCCAGAAAATACAGAGGTGCATGACAAAGACGCACAACGGCACATAAAGCCCAAACTTTTAAGAACAATGACTGGGCAATACACCTGAAACAGATAAGGATCATCAGATACAAAGCCAAGTCCCTGTTCTCTTTTTTCAAACTATTGATCAAGTTTTCACCTATCATAGGATGGGTAGTCATTTTTAATCCTGAATGCTGAAAGAAAAGAAAGAATGATGGGAAACATAACATGAAGTAACCAATTGCAAAAATGTATAAACAAAAAACTGGACTGAGATGCATAAACCATAGAGAACATTAATTAATAATTTCTTCTTTCAAGGGTAAAACAAGTTGAAAAGATCACATTTAAATTTGAAGTAAGGGTAATTTAATCTCAAAGAACTTGTCCACATAACACAAACCTAAAGGATTCAAACAAACTCGCAAGCTCCCTGATCCAAAATGAAGAAGAAGGAAAGAAATTAAGCCTTATATTAGATGTTCAATCTTGTTACATCCATAAAAGTGAATTGGTGAAGCAACCCACACGAGAAAGATTACCACATATCCCTGATATATAAGCAATCTAGCATTACAGCCCAGAAACCACGAGACCGTCACAAACAAGACACAATATAAACAAAAATAAATGCAACTGACGTGCATGCAATATGAGAATTTTGCGCAGGAACCAAAGCATGAGCGTATCATTATGGTTGCAGCTCCATTAATGTTAACATTATTCCGATCAGCAAGATTATATTTGATTAAGATCAGTAAATTCAGGCACAAAGCAGATAAGCCGAAGTAAATAGAAAGCATTTTAACTTCAATTTTGCACAATTTACCAAACTGGGGTAGTGTTCCATTCTTGAGTGTTTGGCAATGATTTGATTAAACTTCTTGAGGTATGGCTTCTCCAGGGTAACGAAGGGCACACCCAACCAAACAATCAGTAAAAAGAGTCTCCTTTGGTCAATCTCCTCCCAGGTCTATCCCCCGAATTTTATAACATGTTCATTAAAATAAGAGCACACCAAAGATCTAAGGAGAATCATATAAGCTGACATAAAAATGAATTACTTGTTGATACTATTTAATTATGAGTTTCACAGTTCCAGTTGACACTCCATAAGTAGCTCATTGACCAATAAAAAGTAACTTAGATAATGAACACACCAAATGGAACATGCTATCACCAACACCCATATGACGGCTCAAGTAACATTACTCTTGAGCTAGAATAATCAATATGGACCGTCATTCTCTTTTAACCTCAAAAAGAACCTGAGATAATGAAATGAGCACAGCTATCTCTAAGTAACGCCATAGTCACCATAGGTGCCTTTTACATTTATCATCTTCCCTTCCATGAAAATAAAATTTTCCCCCCAGTTTTTTTTTTAGGTGGATTATTCTAGCTGAAGTACGATTTGTAAGTTCAATGTCTTTCGCGCTAAATTTCACTCAACGAGACTACTATTTCCTAATTTTTCATCAATCATTCTCCATTCCAATCAACAAAACATACCTATCAAAACAAACAGATAGTCACATAAAAATTTCAAATTTTGGTCTACAGTTAAGATTTTGTACTTCATTGCATCCTAAGCTTAAATTTTTCTATAATTTCACTTCATTAATTAAAAAAACCTTAAAACCCCCAAAAAATTCGCAGATACAAAATGGAACCCTGGAAGCTGAATCCACGAAACCCTAGATAAATCAAGCATTACAAATCAAGCATTACAAACCTTCAATCACACGTAAAAAATTCAACCCAAAATTCGACACGCAGAACTTAAATAGAGCAAAATTATATCGAAATTGAAGTTCAAAATTCAAATCTTATACCTTTCAAAAATCGGAGCCAATGATGTCCAATTGGCGGCGAAGCAAGCGCGATTCTTTGATTTCGGGATTTGAAGATACGTCGGGAATCGAATATTCCAAGGGTTCTAATTAGAGTTCTGAGCTCGAAATCGAAGGTTCGTACGAAGCCATGGAGGACGAAGACGAACCCTGTGTTTTGATCGGCAATGCAAATGGGGGGCGGTTAAATTACAGTTATACCCATGTTCCGTTTTACCGATGAATTAAAATGGACATTGAGGGCGGGGGTAGTTTGGGAACAATATGTTGAGCCGGCTCACAACAGCTACATAGAGTCTTCCATGGATGTATGTAATATATATGTATGTATGATTGTATGAAGCTATATGTGTGAATGTGTATATATATGCACATGGGATGAATTAGGAAGTGACAATTATTGAGTAATTTGAAAAAAAAATATTACTTAGTGAGAAAAAATAATTGAAATCAACTTTTTTTATTTAAAAATGTGATATAATAATAGTTTTTGATTATGATGTTAATTGAGTTATAAATAACTGAAAACGTTACAGTATATATTTGTTCGATCGTTAAACATTACATAGTGTAGAAGTCGCCAAATTATAACACGTACAATTGGTCACACAACATGTGCGGTTTTGTATGCACGGTTTAGAATTTGGATATTTGTGCATGTATTATAATTTAGGTTTATATAGAAGGCAAACAAAAAATTCACATCCTAATCTTTATGGTAATATCGTAAAAATGTGTACCTAGTTTGGGCATGTTTTCTTATTTGGTTCCATTCGTACATCTCCCTCAAAATGCAAAAATAGGTATTTAAAACATCGTCACTCTTTGCTATAATTTATCACTCTTTGCTGTAATTTATCAATTCAAACTGTTTATTTATGGGATAATTTCGTTATGTTTATTTTTAAATTTCAATTCATAGACTATTCTTACAACGTCGGGGTAGTTCAGATTCTTTTGGGCTTCGAACGGTCTTAAACTGAAGCACGAATCAGAGCCTCTGTCATCCCACAGCCATTACAACGTTTGATGTTTTGGAAGCCACTCATGCTATCTAAACCATGTCATGCAACTGAGGACTTTATGTGAAACATTGACATCGAGGTGGTACCGTGTCAAACTAATCATGCGAAGCCATAGGAGAAAATTAAACTATGTGGCAACATGCGAAACTTTAGAACTCATCCACCATGGATATCCCGCTTCATGTAAATCTCTCTCTTGCACCTTGCATTTGTCTGAGCGTTTGTTTTGTTCGAAACAACATGCATTTCGGCATTGACTCTTGGTCATGTTTACCTACGATTTGGTTTTTTTTTAAAAAAGGTAAATTTAAAGACGCGGAGAATGGGAGAAGTATTTTCCCTCGTACCATCGAGATTTCTTAGTACCGTTTGGTATGTGGGACGGGACCATTCCGTCCCACATTTGGTGCGCCTAAAACGGGTGGAACGCTGTTCCACGGGACGAGTTTTGGGTGAATTTTCGTTCCACCTCACCTCCTGGAATGACTCGTTCCATATCCATGTAATACAAAATTATAACATCTTCGTCTCCTTCTTCTTCCTCCTTGTTTCCATCTAAAGGCATCTTTGCTCCCTCTCCATTCCGTCCTATCCTGTCATGTCCCGTTCCGTCCTGTATGCATACCAAATGATACCAGAAAGAAAAAGAAAAACGGCATAGGGGAAGCCAGATAAATATTGGAAATATATGAGACTATAAGATTGCAACATCAGTAACATCCTCAAACTTAGGAATCAAAAACTCAATTATGTTTCAGCAGCCATAATTTCCTAGACAATCAAAGAGAAGAAAGATCGAAAACCGCCACAAGTGAAGGCACATTGCCAACCTGGGTAGCCAGGACCATGATAAAAATATCACCCCTACTCGGATACAAAAAGTTCTAACGATCTTCTACTAATACTGTACACTTGAAGTTCTGCAAGATGTAGCAGTCAACTGTGTTGATCATGTGGTGGTCGGGGCAAAACCCAACTGGGAAAAACAAGCAGGCGTGCGCAGCAGGTTCCTAGAAGGGCCCTGTCCGCCTGTCATACGAGACGCTGTGAGTCACTCTGACATGACATCCTCTGGTGCAGTAAGTACCTGAGCTTCCATGTCGTACGAGGGATACTTGGTGGAGTAGTCCAGTACAGAATCACCTGGACAGGAACACAGTCGATTATTACATGCACATTACAAATAAAAGTTACAGTTAATGAGACCAGTTCGGGTCAGGATTTCTTACTTTGAGAAGAGTCAACAGATGTCCGATTCAGCGATGTACTTCTCTTTAGATCTGTAACAGTAACGAACATAATCCAGGAAATTTAGCAGATTGCAGACGACGTTGCTCATTAAATTAAAACTTGTAGCATGTTGAGTCTAGAAAGAGAAAGGAAAAGGAGAGAGGTGAAGAAAACTGTACTTCGGTACAATGACATACCAGATGAACGATGTAACCCTTTGACAGCCTCAAAATTCTTGTATGTGTAGCCAACAAAACTGAGATCTTTAGGAGTCAACAACATCTGCAAAGAAAGATACAGAACAAGCATAAAAAACTAATATAACAGGAATTTTCTTTCCGCGTTTTCCCTTCTTCAAGAATAAAAATGTTCCTTCATACAAGATCATGAAATAAGCACACCGGCCTCCAAAAGAAGATTAGTCAATGTTTTCGATAAGTTCAAAACCCCAAAAATCTAAAGAAAACTTGTTTTATTAATCTAGTAAGTCAAAATGGACCCTTTTAAGCGTTTAGATGGCGAAAGCCATCACCGGATAATGAATCAACATTACGCCACTTCAATTTTGGCTATGAGAAACATACCTTTCTCATGGGTCCAGATCCAGTTCTTCCAGGTGCTGGTGGATCCACCTGCAGCACAGTTGAATTTTAGACACAAAGGCACAATCCAGTACTTCACTAATAGTGACTAGTATAGGTCGGTGTTTTCGTGAGCAGTAAGCAGACAGGAATATATCTGACACCTTACCTCATCATACTTCATAAAGTTTTGAGTATCAAGTTCATCGTTGACCTCTGGTTTAAATGCTGCCTCCGTCTCGTAAAGTCTGTCCCAAGCAGTATCTCTAAACCAAGGATGAGCCTGATCCATTTAAAATAAGAGGACCTATTTCATTCAGAATGGTGTAACAATGTGAGGGTAAAACCATAAAGTTCATCTGAAATAGAGGCAAAATACCTTAATTTGGTCTGCTCTACCAAGTCTGTTTTCAACATCGCAAAGAAACCTTTTGATCAGATCCTTTGCTTCAGGTGTCAACCGTGCCTCGACAGGAAATTTCAAGTGATTTTTCCAATGTACAATCTGCATGCATTGTTCCATATGTCAGATTATGCACGAGATATGAATTTATCAATAAAACTTTAGTAATTCTGTGAGTCCTCAAAGAGGTTTGTGGTATATGCCATGATGCACTTGAATCCGAACATATAAGAAAACTGTGAACTGATTGCAAATTAACCTTTCTGCATGTTGTGACGGGATCATCAGAGTAAAATGGAGGATAACCAACAAGCATCTCATACATTATCGCACCAAGCGACCACCTACAACCAGGAATTGGGTGAGAAATAGTATTCAAAAACGAACTTGCTCACACCATATTTTAGCTACTATAACAATCCAATAATGCTGCAAAAATCGTGGACTCACCAGTCACACTCCATGCCATATCCTTTCTTCAACAATACCTCTGGAGCGATGTAATCTGGAGTTCCAACTGTCGAAAATGCCTACCATTGAAACAAAGGAAATGGCATTAAACATTGGATCTTAAATCTACACAGTATTAATTATCCACAAATAGCAAACATTTGTTGCTTTCACCTTATCCAGTTAAGAATCTAAGAGCAAGAGAGGTGAAATTCCATATTAGAAGATAAAGAAAAGATCATTTGAGTACCAATGTTCTCCTGTTTATCTGCCAATGCTGAAGTTGCTCAAGCGGGCTTTTCCAGCGCCTCCCATTTTTTGTTTGAGGGAAGGATTCATCAATATCCATTGCCTCATTCAGGTTCTCATCATCGAGCACTTCATTTTCATTTATGGAAGATAAATTCGAGCAGTCGAGAGGCTTGCAAAGACCAAAATCAGAGAGCTTCATGTGACCGTTTTTGTCTAACAGGAGATTGTCTGGTTTTATGTCTCTGCAAAAATAGACGTACCAAATGCAAGAGTTAAATTATGTTATCTTGATATACCATTTATTAATAAAATGTACTTTAAGAGAATCCAACTTCCGGTGTTGGCAAGCTTGTAACCAACAGGATAAACCAACCTGTGAATGTAGTTATGTTTATGAATAGATTCTATGGCCAAAACACTTTGCGCAATGTAAAATCTTGCGACAGTTTCAGTCAAAGACTCTTCTCTAATAAGCAAAGTCATCATGTCGCCACCAGGTAGATATTCCATGACCAGATACAAGTATTCAGCATCTTGAAAGGAATAGTAAAGTTTCACAATGCAATGACTGGCAACCTCTGCAAGCAAATTCCTTTCAGCTCTAACATGTTCAACCTACGTTGTGGATAGACAACCAGTGAGCGCTGGATTTGCACGAAAAGTAATGGATGAAAATTTGAGAACCTTTAATTGAAGCTTCTCTTTCCTTTAAGGTAATAGAAGTCAAATTAAATCAACTCCTGATATCATATAATTACCTGCCCCCTACTGAGCATTTCTGACTTCTTCAACTTTTTCATGGCATAAATGTTGCCAGATTTCTTCTCCCGGCACAGTCTAACCTGCAAAATATTAATAAAAAGATTATTTATCAAGAAATTATCAAACATAAACCAAAGAATAAAAAAAAAACTACGACAAAGAAAATGAAAATGATTTGTTTTAGAAAATAATCAGCGTATTGTAACAGTACACAACTCGAGGGTGACTGAAACAAGCTTATACTCACTTTCTCTGTATATTATATGTTGAAAAGGAAATTAAAATCTTTTACACCTAGCACCTATGCAAGTTCTAAGAGATGCATATCTCTAACCTCTCCAAAGGCCCCTCTCCCAATTATGGCCAGAAGGTCAAAATCATCTACACAAATTTTGTGCCTTTTAAGGCGTATGTATTGAGTCTCTGTGCGCTCCAAATCCTTCAACAAATTGATCTGTTCCTCCTCCGGTACATGTTCAGATGCCAACTTCTTTTCCAGCACCGAGCGCCTGGAAACAGTGAACACATTTGAGGGCGGATATCAAGATCAAAGACAGAACCTTTATCCTCTAACCATTGCCAAATTCACTTTAATTACCAGCGGTGGAGGCACATCACAACTATTGGACTCTAAAACCATATAACAAAACAAGAACATATTCAACACTAGCGATATAAAGTTTATGTGGCATGAATGCAAGAGTGTGTAGGAAGCAGAACTGCCATAACGGACCCCTGAAAAAGAACAGATCAGGCATTAAAGATAAAGGTGAAACACTGCAGAAATAACCATACTAACAGACGCATTCTATTGCCTAAGAACTCAAACATTTAGCCTTTTCAGCACTCTCTTCCTGCTACTCTACGATGCACAAGTTGAAATACGAACACAAATTATACACCTGATGAAAAAATGCATGAGAAAAACACAACCGAGAAATAATCCAAACAATCCATAAAGAACCGACGACAGCCACCACCCATTTATGTTATGAAACATGTCTCTCGCTCATTGCTAAACCAAAGGGCCTCAATCACACAGTCAACCGCCAAATAATTCGTCTAAGGTGATTAAAATCATAACAAACCAATAACCAAATACTTTTCCAACTAAGGATTTGTAGATAAAATCTTTGCGCAGCTGCCTCAAAACTAATAACCGTCACTAGGCAATTCTTTACTAATCTGCAATGTCATTCAGCAACCAAACTCTTATCATATTTCATATTTGGTATTCCTTAAAAGGTTTGTACTTTGTCAACATCGTATGCGCTGTTACAAAATCTAAACACAATCCGATAAGTAAACAACAATTACTTTCAGTTCATGCAAGCATATGCATTTCAAAAGCACAATGATTTAGGAATTTTCGAAGAACCACATTTCCAAAAAAAAAAAGTAAAACCAATCAAATTCCAACTCGTTCCAGGAATGCAATTCCAAAGGCAGTCAAAGAAACACCCTCATTTCTCAGAAAAATCAATACTTTCCATTCGAACAAAAAGAAAATAAAATACCCGGAAAAAAAAAAATTGATCGCAAAAAACCAGCTGAAATTGCAAAAACAAGAACCGGGCAAGGCAGAAAGATCCTTAAAAACAGTAAAAACAACAAAAGTTGATGTCTTTTTTTTTTTTTCTTTTTCCAACCTCTGTTTACGATCCTGGATGTGCTTCATCTGAGCCTTGTAGTGGCTCTCTATGAATTGCTTGGCCGCAGCCACCCTCTCCAGGGTCAGGCTGGACCCCACCTGCCCGTCCTCCTCCTCCACCGCCATGGGCCCCGCCTCGTCCTTCTCCATCTGCTTATGGTTCTCCATCCTCTCTCTCTCTCTCTCTCTCTCTCTGTGGCTTGAGAAATTTGGATGATTGTGACGAGTGACAACGAAGCAAAAACCCCGGGACGATTGAGAATAAGACCCCTCCAAAAACAGCTTCAACAACTAATTTTTATATTTTCCTCTCCACCAACGTCTATTTTGTCTGTCTGACACGTGTCCACCTCCAGTTGGTTGTTCCTGGGTTCGTACGGTTGGACTCTCTCTTGGGTGGCATTTCTCAGGTGGCAGAGCATGTTAAGTACAACTAAAATATATTCTCTTTTTATTAAAAAGAAAAAAAAAAGGGAATTAACCAATTTTTATTCCTTAATTTATAAAGAATCCTATTTTGGAAAAGAAAAATTATAAATAATCATATTTAGAAAAATGGTAGTTTCTAAAACTGGAAACCAAATATTTCATAGTTGTTAGTAGGCAGTTTTGCAGGTGCAATGAACTTTCTCAATGACAGTCATTGCAAAAAGTGAAATTTGGGGAGGTAATGAAATTGCCCTCAAAATGTTAAAACTTGCATGTCAAGGTGTATATGTATGTTCGTTCATTTGTATTTGTCTTTACGGGAGGAATGTATATATCTTTTTGTCTATCTGTAACATCATGAAATGAATGTATACACTGTATCGTCACGGGGGGAATGCATATACCTTTGTCTCTATCTGTATCATCACGGAAGGAATGCATACACCTTTGTATCTATCTGTATCATCACAGGTGGAATGACTATACATTTGTTTCTATTTGTATCATCACGAGAGGAATGTATTCACCTTTGTCTCTATATGTATCATCATGAAAGTAATGCATACATCTTTGTGTCTTTCTGTATTATCACATGTGGAATGTATACAAATTTGTTTCTATCTGTATCATCACAGGGGAATGTATACACTGTTGTTTATATCTTTATCATCACAGAAAGAATGCACACAGCTTCGTGTCTATATGCATCATCACATAATGAATGTATACACCTATGTCTCTATCTGTATCATCACGAAAGGAATATATATACTTATGTCTCTATCTGTATCATGACAAAAAGAATGCATTTGTGTCTATATGTATCATCACGGAAGGAATGTATACACCTATGTCCTTATCTATATCATCACGAAAAGAATGTATACACCTATGTCTCTATTTGTATTATTACGGAATGAATGTATACACCTTTGTGCCAACCTAGATTACCATAGGAGAAATGTATATACATTTGCCTCTATTTGTGCCCATCAATGTAATATAATACAGGAGGAAAGAGACCGACACAATAATATATAAAACAGTGACACAAAAGTTATTTCCAAATTAGATTTTACATTCTTAATCAAAGGCTTCTCTTCAATAAATGTCAATCAAGCAAAAGCAGAGAAGCCCTGTTCGATCACTGCATATTTTGAAAGAGGCAGATGATGTAATCAACTTCCAAATGCAGACCAGCAAACCCAACTGGCTATAAACATCATGTCACAACAAGGTTTCCATCACTCCCTAAACTAGGGGCATAAATTCTTAAATGATCCACAGTAGTATGTCTACGTCTTTCTCGTAACGATACAAGTGAACAAACAACAGATAACAAGACATATTCAACCCGGAACAAAACTAATGTAAATTTAAAATGTTCAATCTAGTAAAAGTGATTAATTAATTTATAAAATAGATTTGTAGGACTGGTTTGGAATTGCTTAAAATAACTTTTTTTCTTTTCAAAATCATGGGTCCAAAACAGTATAAAGCAGCAGCAGCTTTACATATACTTCTCAAAAAAACAATTTTTTCATTGCAGGCAGGTGAATAATACCAATTAATTAAACTTTCATACTGACAATCATACCCCTATCATTTTTTCGCAAAATGCACTTTTAGCATTACAGTTTACCAAACACCTGTCTGTTTTTTTTCACAACTATTTATTCTTACAGCACGGTAGAAGTAATTTAAAAAAAAAAAACTCAATAACCCCAAACTTCCCCATCACTATCAATTTGCCAAGAAAGGGTTAGTAAAAGTCTTCCCCATCACTGCGAATTTGCCAAGGAAGGGTTGGTAAAAGTCAAAGAACAGAGGAGACCAGAATTACTAATCTGATGCAAATAATTAAAAGGTCAGAGACTCAGAGGAAAGCAAATGAGAATTGTTGTTGTGCAAGTGCCAGGGGAAACCGCGTTCCAATCAGCTTGTTGGACCAAAAGTTGATAAAATTAGAGACTGCAAAAGGGATTTGCCATGTTGAAAAATGGGAGTTTATGACATCACAAATTCTGTCAATACTTGGTTCTTTGGGGTCTGCATATTATGGTAGCCTGATATGGCCAAGAACTAAAAGTTACATGGTTGACAATGTTTGTATTTTCGTTTGTATCTATCTTCATGATACGTGACCGAGTAGGTAAGCGCGTAATGAGAGATGCATGATTATATACAAGCGATGTTACAAGAAATTCTCTCTTGACAATCTGACTTAAAATTCTCATATAGGATTATAAGCTCTCAAACTTTAGAATAAAGGAGATAGATGCACAATTATATACAACTGGTGACACGATAAATTTTTTCTTCAATGTAATCAAGAATTCCAATTACTCATACTTTTTAAGTTAGAGAGATAGGCACAAAGTTGTATATAATTGGTGATGCATCAACTTTTGTCTTGGCAACGGAATTGAATATGTCAACTTTTCTCTTGACAACGTAATTGAAAATCTCATCTAGTTCTAATCATGCAAACTCCAGAATGTCGACGATGAAACCATAAATCAAAATCTCGACCAATTTACAAACTCAAACTTCAAAGTTAGAGAAATAGATGCACAGTTAGATACAATTGGTGATACGACAAATTTTCTTTTCAACATAATCAAGAATCTCAACTATGGTCGCTCAAACTTCGAAACCAGATTTAGAATTTCAGATGGCAAAAATGAAGAACGAACTATATTGATTAAGATAATATACTTATACACAAAGCTAATCAAAAGCCAAACTATATTTCTCTCCGTATAATCTTTTACTCTACAATATAACTACAACAAAGACACCGCCAAAAGCCTAAAAGCACAATACTAAAGCTGAAACTCAAAAGCACCCCCTACAGAAAACCAGTGCCTGCAGCAAGGCCATGGTGCAACAAATTATGAGCAATGTGATCCCTCGCCTGCACCGAACCCGCCGACCTCAGACTATTCACCGGTGTCACCACATCGTCGAAGAGCTCGAACCCGAACTCGGGATCGAGCACCTCATTCCTCATTGCACAGATATTGTGCAAAACACAGCAGGCTCCAAGCACCACAGGCAAGTCCTGCAGTTTGACCTCAGTCCTCTTCTGCAAGCATGACCACCTCCCTTTCAACTTTGCAAATGCATCTTTAGTCACCCTTTCGACTTCACCTATTTTCTCGTTGAATGCGTGCTGGGTCCACGTCAAGTTCTGGTGGGTGTAAGGAACCAGCACCCAATCCATCAGAGGAAACCCAGCATTTCCTACAATCCACACATCCTTCAATAGTCCTCTGGTTGCTCTCTGGTACAATGCAGACTTCTCCAGCACCTGTTCGTCAGGCATCGAACCCGGCCAGCCGATGCAAACGTCGGTGAAAACGCCTCTCGGATCGACAACCCCTTGAACCGTGATCGAATACGAAGTCTTCTGGTTGCGTTCCGTGTGTCGCTTGTTGAAATACGCCGCCACGTTCACCTTTGGAGCAATAATTGGAATGTGGGTGGTGTACATAGACCCAGCAACGTTTGGAATTCCGGAAATGGTCTCGAACTCCTCCTTGATTTCCTGCATCCTGCCTTCGTCCGGCCACTGGAGAAATTTGGGCATCAAGACAGTCTTGATAGCAAGGCAAACTTCCAGAACCAGCTTGTGGCAGGTGGAGATTCCAAGCCCGAAACGTTTGGAAACCTCCCGGAGCGGCTCCCCGGTGGCAAGCCGATATATGCACACAGCCACACGCTGCCGCACCGGAATCGCCTCGCGCAGCATTGTGTTCTTCTTGAAAACCGCCAACTCCAGCTCCGCGCATATCATGTCGAACGTTCCCTTGCTCATCCGAAACGCCTTTCGAAACTCCTCCTCTGGAACATCTGGGTGGCCCAAATTCTCCCACCACACCTTGGACCTGTCCTTCACCCAAAGCCTCCTGTGTGGACCCGGAATCGTAGCACTCGAACTCGCTTCCGGACCAGCCGCGGATGTCTCAGCTGCGGCAGTGGCCGCAGCGGCTGCAGCGGAAGCGGACTGCCGACTCCGTTTCGCCCTCGACTGCTCCGATTCATCAGATTGAGAATGATACTGCTGAAGATCAGTGTAATACTCCTCCATAGCTTGAGTCTTCTGCCTGTGATTAGCTTCAAGCATCAATCTTTCCTGCTGGGCTTCGACCAAGTAGCTCTCCTGCTCCTGCTTCTCCTCCTCGTCCAGCAGAATCAGCGAAGCCAGTATGTCGCTCATTGCTCCCGGAGCGGCTCCAGCGCCGCCACCAATACCATTATTGCTTCCGTCGTCCTTTCTTCGCTTCTTCAGGTTGTGATTCCCTCCATTTATGTCGAATTCGTCCATGTCAGTGAACAGGGTGTAGAAATGGGTGTAATCTTCTTGATTAAGAAGTGGGAACGGAGTAATTTCCATTAAAGGCGTGGACTTTGATGGGTCTGAAAGGTGTTTGACGAAATGCCTGTGTGAATTCGAATTGCGAGTGCGGAGGTGAACTGGTGGAGATGGAGTTGTTGGTTGGAGGAATTGGACTGGGGACATATTTTATACCCGCGGGAGGCGTGTACGCAGGTGTGAACGCGGAGTGGGGAGGCTTTTGACTTGGACTTGACCCTTTTGGAAGAGAGCTTTTACGCGGTTGGAGTTTTGGGGGCGGTGGTTTTTGGGATAAACGATGGGAATTTGGAAGGGGAGGGAAGGGGACGGGGAAGTTTCGTTTTTGGGGAAGGAAGAAGGAAAGAGGGGAAAAGGGGGGAGAATAAGAGAAATGGTGACTTTGCTTGTACTCAATTGCAAAACAATTTTTTGTCGCCAAAAAGAACCCCCAAAGGTTCACTATTTTAAGTTTTTTTTTTTTTTTTTTTGAACAAAACTCTATTTTGTTTTTGGATGGTTAGTAAACACTGAGTGCCTGTAGTCATTTACAAGCTAATGATGAGATGTCAAGTAAATTTGATTGTTGTGCGCTAAAGAAGGTTTTTGAATTAAATTGGTTGGGTTTTGTCGTACGGGTATGTTTTTGTAACGATAAAATTAGTAGGACTATTAAACGAACTCTAAAATACATGCGTAATCATTTGCGAGCAATGAGTGTTAAAAACAATTGATTGTTTCGGGCCAATGAAGGTTTTGAAGCAAAAATGTCATGAAGTAAGCTTTGGATGCATGTAGTCATATGCACCAAAGAAGATTTTCAACTAAACGATTCAATAACGCTTAATACGTGTAACCAATTGCAAGTGGTGAGGTATCGAGTACATGTACTAAAAATTGTTTTGTGAACCTGCAATTACGATGTTTTTTTAGAGAAGTTTGATGTCACATGAAATTTTTATTTAATTAAACAAAAAAAATGTTTCGGAGGATATAATAAACAACTTCAATCGTAGCCATTTTCCAAAAATCTGTAGTGAATTCTACATTGTCCGCCCCAAATTTATTGAAGGCATTTCCTTGCTTAAAACACAACCTCGCATAATTAAAGTTTACATATTAACCAAATCCATAAACACATTCAACATTGTTTTACCAATAAATTTTCCTTAATAACGAAACCTTGAATATTAATGTTATATTTAGTGGATCTTTACCGAATATCCTTTACTTTTTTGAATTAAATGTTTATCGAAAACTATATACTTTCTATTCTGATGTACTAAACAAAATTCTTTGGCTTTACTAGTACTTTTTCGTATTAAAAATTTAAAGTGATTCATTTAAAAAGATTGAGGGGTGAGAATAGAATTATCCTAAATTTAAAGGTCAAAACCATCAACCATCATTTTTCAACAATGTACTTTTAATTAAATTACGAACTTCTAGTAAATGAGCGTTATTACCGTGGCCGTACAGTGTGAACAATTTAAAACGTGATTTGCATCAATTTAAAACTCTTCCAAACATTTTATATTTTACTTTTTTTTTATAAGAAAAACTAATAAAAAAGGCTTAAAATTTTTGAGTTTTAACGATAAAGCTAAAATAAATGATAAAATGAATAATACTATAATTGACTTTTTAGTATAAAAATATAATTTTTCGTTATATTAAACAATACCAGAAGTTTTTCATCAAAGTATTTTTTTTTTCTATAAGATTCTTTTATTCAACTTCTCTTTTATTTAAGATGATTCTTTTTCAAAACCAACAATTTCTGTGGTCTAACCATAAAAATCCACTACCAGCAGTGAAACATGCTATCTTGTTTTCGATAAAGTGAATTTGTAATCAATGACGTTAGATGATAATTGTATTATATACACTTATTTATATAAATTATATATGATCGTTAGATAATAAGTGTATTAAATTCATGCAAGTATTGTAGTCATGAATTGATTTAGACCACATTTGTCACCAATAGAAAATAAGTACGTTAATCAACATTTAATAATAATACAATCATCAACAACCACATCATATGATTTACAAGATATAGTTTAAATAAATGGTTTCCCTAACATTATCCATATATATCATGTAAATAATAACTACTATTTTTGGCATTTAACCAGTAAATGTTGGGGACAAATTTGTGACATCTCTTTTTTTACATAACTTTTGACACGTTTTTTGTGGGGTCAACTTTATAATGTATTTCAACAATCTAAACCGTCTATCGTTTAGATATTTCCTAAAAAATCGTGTTTACCAAAACTCACTCAAATTTGAAACTATATGATTGTTGGATTAAGGGTTTAGGCTTTCTTTGTAGAACCGTATTCGTCTATTTTTTTTCACTACAAATGAATGTTTTAATAATTTTGGATTTGTCTAATTTTTTGCAATGATGATCTATAAATGATATTATAAAAGATGGACAGATTGTTAAAATACATTACAGAGTGGCTCTAAAAAAATGTGTGTCAAAAATTGAGTAAAACAAATCCGTCCTCATAAATGCATGGTTTTTTAAATATAGCATAAGTACATGAAGTTAATGTTCTTTGTTCTTTCTCTCTTGCTTTAGTTTCTATTGACTTCGATTTAATTCCAAAATTAAAATGGATATTTTAAAATTAATGTTCTTTGTTCTTTCTGTCTTGCTTTAGTTTCTATTGACTTCGATTTAATTCCAATTGACTTCGATTTAATTCCAAAATTAAAATGGATATTTTAAAATTAATGTTCTTTGTTCTTTCTCTCTTGCTTTAGTTTATATTGACTTCGATTTAATTCCAATTGACTTCGATTTAATTCCAAAATTAAAATGGATATTTTAAATCTCATTGACCCAAAAGCTATTGGTCAACGTTGTTACTTGTAAAATTATTGAGCTGAATTATTTTTTTGGTCTATTTGCTGATTGATAATTACATAAATATTTAAGTACAACTCTGAAAGAAGAAACAAGTTTGAAGATCAGCATGTGGTACATAAACCTACATTATCAGGTTGTTTGACATCTTAAATGTCCACTAAAACATTCCAATCATAACCCAAATTAGTTATAATTATAATTATACACACTAACGTTCAAGCACGCGTTTATACGTGTGTAGAATACATTTTTTGAATTACAGCATGCTACGTGCAACTTACACGTTTTAAATATATTATTATGCACTTGTGAAAGAACTTTTTTTTATAACCGGTGAGCGTGTGCAGAATGCATTTTTTTAATCATGACGTGCTACGTGCGACTTACACGTTTTAAATGTATTATTATGCGTGTGTGAAAGATCTTTTCTATAACCGGCATTTCACGTCTCTTACGATCTTGTGAACGTGCTTAAAAATAGAAAAAATAATATTTAATAAATAATTGATTGAATCACATTATTACTAACATATTGTGAGATACTAATTAAAAAAAAAAACACTAAAAGAATTAATTATTAAAAAACACTGTTTATATGACGAAAATACCCCTGCATTATTTGGTGCATTATTTTGGATTTCTTTTAAATTTTTTTATTTGGAGACAATTTTTATCCTAAAATTTTTGGTGAATCCGGTGACCCCAAAAGATATGTGTGTAGTGTGAATTATTATGTGATCCAACGCAGTTGACCAAAAATACAAAGATGAAATTAAGTAACCTCAACGCTGGTTAGGTAAAGGTATTTGACCGTCTTATTTGATTTGAGATCGTATCTCATTCTTCGTAAATTAAATAATTTAAAATATAAGTTTGCTGACCATAATCGTAAAATATTAAATAGAAATAAAAATACATAGTGACAAACTAAAGCATGATCTAATTTGCTGGTCATCCAACAATTTCCCCTTACGTCTTTTAGTTTTGTTTTGTTTTATTAGCAACTTGACTTGCATGTCAACAACCTTCATAGTCCTCTTTTTTTTGGAATACACTTATTTTTACCTCACACATACTCTTATTAATCTTTGGTCATTGATGTCTATTCATGTGGTCTGACAATCGAAAACTAAGAAAGGTATGCGAGAAGTAAAAGTAGGTGTGTGGATAACACTACCTGGAATTATTAACTTTTAATTTGTAGATAATGTCAAATTTATAATTAAAATACCCATATATATTAGTCTTTTATGATTGATCAAGGGAAGATGATCATCTCCGAATCCACTTTGTGAGAATCTTGGGGATTCCCACATCCTAGTCGTTCATCGTATATATTACGGTCGGTTTTTGTCAGGTACTATTTGTATTTAATTTTAATTAAAAAATTAAATAATTTATAATCACACGATATACGATGAATGATTAAAATATAAGGATCTCCACAATTTGGATCCGGATGAGATCCAAATCTTTGATCAAGTGGTTGAAAAGCCAGCTCTTAGATTGTTATAATTAATTTTTAATGGCCGGTGCAATTTTATTCATAGTGGACCAATGTAAACATGGACATGAGATCTTATCGTGTGATGATGAGTGTGATGATGACATAAAAGCATGACTCTCGTGACACGTAATTTATCGATACAATCCATAACATGTTTAGTTTAAAAATGAGTTATACTATATTATTACAAGCTCTTATAAACACAAGGAGTATATATATGCCTCAAGAAGATTTGTGTTTTTTATAGTGTTCTTTTAACATTTGTTTATATATACTTGTAGTTTGCAACTGGGGTAAACTGATGTTTGACCCTTGAAACTTACTTTAGTTGAAGTTGACATTCTGAACTATTTTTTTGGTTAATTAATCTCTAAATTATTTGAAATTAGCAAATTAACAACTCACAATCAAATTTGATAAAATTTCATCCACTTTGCCATCTACCGGCATGACTTTACCCTCAAGAGTGAATCACGTGTTGGTCATGTGCTAGTATTTGACGGCAAAGTAGATAAAATTTCATCAATCTAACAATAAAAGGTCAATTTGCTAATTTCAAATAATTGAGTTGGTTAATTTATCAAAAAACAGTTGAGGAGGTCAACTTCAACAAAATAATAATTTAAAAAGTCAAACCGCAATTTACGCATGCAAGTTATTATATATGTCACCATCAATCATAAGAGTTGGCAAGAAGTGAAAAAAAATGTGCTTGATACATTTATTTACAGGAAGTTTAACGAAAAACTCCTGATACTGTTCATTTTAACGAAAAATCATATTTTTACA